AATGCGGGGTTAGACAAGGGAAATGCGGGGTTAGACAAGGGAAATGCAGGGTTAGACAAGGGAAATGCAGGGTTAGACAAGGGAAATGCAGGGGTAGGGGAATGGGTCTGGGTGGGATGCTCTTCTGAGGGGCTCTGTGGACTTGTTGGGCCGAAGGGCCCGTTTCCACACTGTAGGGATTCTGTGATTCTGTGACATTCTTAAAAAGAAAGTAAGTATCACCTCTGAATTAACAGTGTGACCTCTCACTTCAAATTCCCCTAGTTAACATCTCTCTTCTGAGAGGGAACATCCTGCCAGTACCTACCGAGTTTAGTCCCCTCAGGATTTTACACGCTTCAATAATTGCAAAACAAATAAGGGCAGGACTTGTACAGTTATTGGTAGGGCACTGGGTAGTGTTGTCAAACAGAGAGACTTAGGGTTTCAGGTGCATAGTTCTTTGAAAGTTGTGTCACAGGTAGACAGGGTGGTTAAGGTGTTTAGCACGCTTGCCTTCATTGCTCAGCCCATTGAGTATAGGAATTGGGGCGTCATGTTGAGGTTGTATAAGATGTTGGTGAGACCACGTTTGAAGTACTGTATACAGTTCTAGTTGCTAAGGATGCTAATAAACTGGAGAGGGTGCAGAAAAGATTTACAAGGACATTACTAGAATTGGAGGGTTTGAGTTATAAGGAGAGGCTGGATTGGTTGAGACTTTTCCCACTGGAACGTAGGAGGTTGTGGGGGATGACCTTATAGAGGTTTATGAAATCAAGAGGGGCATAGATAAGGTGAATAGCAAGGGTCTTTTCCCTGGGTGGGGTGGGGGGGGGGGGGGGGGGGTGTGGCAGCGGAGAGTTCAAAACTAGGGGTCATATTTTTAAGGTGAGAGCAGGAAAATTTAAAAGGGACTTGAGGGACAACTCCTTCACACAGAGGGTGGTTTGTATGTGGGATGAACTGCCAGAGGTAGTAGTAAATGCAGGTACCATTACAACATTTGAGAGAGATTTGGACAGGTACGTGAATAAGAAAGGTTTAGAGGGATATGGGCCAAATACAGACAAGTGGGATTAGGTTAGTTTGGGAAACTTGTTGGAGTTGGACTGAAGGACCGGTTTCCATGTCGTATGACTCTAAACCAAGTTTTATTTTCTAAACCTGCATGAAATGCAAAATAAAAACACAATATGGAGAAATGTACATTTGACATCACATCTATGGAGAAAGAGAAAGACACAGAGATAGCAAGAACTGCAGATGCTGGAGTCAGAGTCAATATAGCGTGAAGCTGAAGGAGCACAGCAGGTCAGGCAGCATCAGAGGAACAGGAAAGTCAATGTTTCGGGTCAGGCCCCTGATGTGGGATGTCCTGATGAAGGGTCCCGACCTGAAGTGTCGACTCTCCTGCTCCTGCTCCTCTGATGCTGCCTGACAAGCTGTGTTCCTCCAGCTCCACACTGTATTGACAGAGAAAGACAGTTCACCTTCCAGGTCAGTGACCTCGCACCAGAACAGTGAATGGTTCTGACGAAAGGTCATCAAACCAAGAACATTAACTCTGCTTCTCTCTCCACAGATGCAGCATCTCTCTCCACAGATGTTGCATGACCTGCTGCACATTTCCAACATTTTAGGTTTTTATTACCATAGAAATGGCTCTGACAGTGTGCAGACCATATGACCAGTGTACACAATGCCTTTCCAGTCAGTGATGTGACAGGACCTTTCATGAAAAACAAATAATTTAAGAATTCATTCACTCTCTCGTCACCCCCTTCTTGGTGTCCAAAGACGGCAATTCACTCAACTTATAGAGATATATATCGACACAATGAAAGGTCAACAGCGACATGATTGCAATTCCTCTAATTAATGTGTGAAGGGCAATTATTGATTTACCTCTCCAACTGTTGGCTCCTGCTCTCCCAGCCCAACAATAAGGATGCAATCAGCCTGCCTGATACAGCGCTGGGTCCAGGGAGTCATGCTGCTGTCAGACTGGTACAGTACAATTCGATGGATATCTTCCTGCTGAGCTAGCCAGCTTGATAATCGGTACTCATGGATGCTACATAAAGAAAAAGACAAGAAATCGTTCAGAAATGGAACAATGGAAATCTACAGCACATCATTCTACATCGATGGAGAGAATGGGCAAGAAAACAACAAGAGAACAGAGGATTTTAATAGATTTAGAAAAGGAAGGTGGAGGAAATTAAAGAGATACTCCAAGCACAGAGACAGAGAGTCAATGCATCACCTATGACCTGATAAAAAAAAACCATCAATATCCCATCAGATGATGGAAAATATCATCAAGGTGACCTTGGACTTATGGATCCAAAAACATTCCACCACCATGGAGTTTACCATCTTATTTCTGGATCTATTGGAGATTAAATTAATGGAGATCGATTGCTGTGCATAGTCAACTCCATTATCATTAGAGATCCCTTCCAGGATGATAGGCAGCAAACAAAATGGGTTTTGGTCTTTTTCATTTTGCAATTCCTACCTCAGGTGGAAAGAGACACTCTGAGCTATGTTTAGGATGGGAAGCCGACGGGGAGAAAGTGTTGGTGGGGCTGGGTCTGTGGCTTTGGTGTTGGTCTGTTTCCTTCTTTGCTGTTTAAGACAGACAGACTCCATGTGCTTTGCTAACATTTTATTTTAATTTTGGACATGACATGCAGGCTTGCTGCTTTCCCAACTCCTCCAATTTTCTAGCCCATTCCCTGAGCAAGTCTCTGACTACTGCAGTACCTCATTGCTTCTTTCTATTGTTTTGAGAGACTGTCCTGTCCTGTAACAATCTCTGGCTTTTTGTTTAAACAAGTGACCAAAACATCATGCATTTATAGAACACGTTTATCTTGGAAAAGCAATCCAAGATGGCTCACCAAGATGTCAAGATGCTTATAGGAACGCTGGTTTCTTTTCTTAGCCTTTTTACTTCAATGCCTAAAAAGTTATCAGTCATTTTTCAGTTCTAAAGACGAATGCGACCCAAATTTCAAACTGGTTTCTTCTCTCAAATAATGCTGATTGACTATTTTCCTGTATTTGTTTCAGATTTATGCTATTTGCAAACTTCGTTTTTTTTCCCAGAATTGTATCGTTAACAGAATCATCAAACCCATTCATTCACATTTGCAGATAACAAGGTGTAGAGCTGGATGAACACAGCAGGCCAAGCAGCATCATAGGAGCAGGAAGGCTGACGTTTCGGGCCTAGACCCTTCAGCAGAAATGGGCCTTCCTACTAGCCTTCCTGCTCAGCCTGCTGTGTTCATCCAGCTCTACACCTGGTTATCTCAGATTCTCCAGCATCTGCAGTTCCTACTATCTCTCATTCACATTTGCAATTCTGTCTTTAAAATGATGCTGATACATAAAGGAGAAACCGCTTTTGTTAGCAGAGGTAAGCAGAGGACAGAAAATAATTGGCAAAAAACCCAGCAGGAAATGTGGACGCTTTTAAAAAAAATACAGTTAGTTACAATGTTGTGGAATGCACCAAGTATACTTGAAAAGGGGAAATTTGTAGAAGCAAATCAGGGGACAATCAGGCTGTGATGCAAACAGCTTTTCTACAAACAGTCAACTACAGACACAAAGGGCCAATGGCCTCCTTCTGGGCTGTATGATTTGATATATAACTACACCAAACCAATGCTGCCCAAATGAAATAGCTGAATAGCCAACTGAAAGACTGCAGCAATAGAATTTCAGCCAACTGTGCTAGTTTAATAGAAAATGTCATGCAAACATTTACATAATGTTGGTAAATAGTAAATGCACTTTGCATACATGTACTTAGTTAACAAACCTCTGTCACCACTCAGCAACCAAAGAAATGAATCATTCACATCAATTATAATGATGATTTCCTTATTACCAAAAATTGTTTAAAGTATGAAAGCATAATCCATAAAAACGAGCAGTGAGGTCAACGCCCAACATTGGTGGTTATTTCTCAATATCATTTACTGATCATAATTAATTTATCCATAGCTGGATTTCCAATTAGCCACAAGTGGCCAAAAGTACTCTCTTTGGACAACACTGCTCTAAACTATCAAGATTCCAATTTACTTACAGCACAATGGAAGAGCTTAAGAGAAACCGGAATTGCTTTTTAATCCCCAAGCAATAGCACTTCACTCAGCATCATAGTTTATAAGCAGAGCATAAAGAAACCAGCCTCAGCCAGAACAATAATCCACAGCAGAAAATTAATTCTCTGTTCCCTAGCCTCAATGTATTACCCTCAATGCCACCTAGGCTGGAATGAGATAACTCAGCGCTGTGCAGGCAACAAAACTAGGACCCTATGAATTTATGATGCCATGTCACCAAACCAACTGAGAAAATCCAAAGTTTACAATGAAGTTTGGGCTCAAATGATTCCAAACTACAATGCATTGAATTTGGACTTCTCCCAACTTTCAGATGGGTGATCCATCCAGCCTATACAATAAATTTGTTATCTGTACATTTACTGTTACCTCTTGGCATTATGCGTATAACCTGTCCCAGCCAACACTCCCTGTGAAATGAGAGTAACTAAAATAAAAGACAGTGTAAACCAAGATGGAACAAGCTAGATGGAAGAGATAGGAGATCAACAAAGGCAGAGTATGACCTAACCTGTCCAAAGCAGTAGATCCAAGACGCTGTTTGATGACATCACTGTTCAGTAGTAAGGTAGGACCTGAAATGAAACAACTGACTTCAGTTTTATGTAAAATTAAACAATGAACTAATAAGATATACCAATTATCACAGTAAAGGATTTACAGCAAAGAATTACTATGAGCATTTAGAGTACAACTGACGTGTAAATAAATAATACAAATAAACAAGGTCAAATAGCCATCAGGGATCAATGGATATGGGGAAATTATTCATTAGTCTGAAAATATTTTCCGCAGTATATTTTTTATTTTGTGCAAAGCTGTAGTAATTGGGCAGCCAATTATGATGGACTTATAGAAATTCAGGATAGTTTGTGCCGACATTGTGGTGGGCCAAATCAAGAGGACTTGCCTTATTTATTCCACAATCTCAGTGAGGTGAAATTCCTGGAATTCCTAATCAGACAGCACTGCGGGAGCCACAGCGACAGCAGCACTCACCACCTCCTGTTTAAACATGGGCAACAAATTCTGACCAAAGAATCAATTTCTAAAAATGCATGACATTCTCAAAACTGCATCATCACATTTCACAGCTACAGGTGCACTATGGTATGATGAGCACAGTTGCTGTGCAAAGCAGTCTTTGGCGATTTTCTGAGGAGAAATGGAATAAATTGTAGTTGAATGATCCAGCACTAAAGCAAAACTTGAAACAATTAGTGCAGCATATTGACCACCTGCAGACTGTCAATGATACAACCCATATAACTGTCAATTGCTTGCTAGACCAGCATGATACCCCTCACCACAGATGGTTTCTGGGGGAAGAAGGATATAAACTATCCTAACATGGAGTTATGCTATGTCTACTGGATATGAAAGCACCATGAAGATTTGCAGCAAAACAATGGCTACATACACTATTTACAAATTCCTATATCACCTCATCTACTTTCCATCTCCGCAGCCTCCTGCATTCATACAATTCTGAGATCTCATCACCTTTCTCCAATATAGTCTCTCATTTCTCCCCAATTTTCTTTACTCCAACAATAGCAGTCATGCCATCAGCTGTCCAGGCACAATATTCAGGAATCCTCTCCTTAAACCTCTTTATCCTTCCTAAAGAAGCGAGAGAGAACGTTACAACTCCTCCTTAACATTTATGGGCATTACAATTGCTGACACCAAAATCATCAACAAAATGGAGGTCACCATGACAGGAAACTGAAACAGACTAATCACAGTGTAGCCACTAGAGTAGCCCAAGTGATGGAAATTCTGCAGCAAGTAGTTCTCCTTTCGACTCTCCAAATCCTTTCTCATCCACAAGGCACAAGTCAGGAGTGTGAAGGAATACACTCCAGTTACCTTTTGAGTGCGCACCACCAAGAACACTCAAGAAACACAGCTCATTCACGACAAGCAGTCTGCTTTATTGGGATCCCATCCACCATCTCAAATACACACCTTCAGAACAGTCTGGTACCCACAAGATGCTTTGCAGAAACTCGCCAAATGCTTTCAATAGCATTTTCCAAACCTACAACTTCCACCATTCAACCCCTCAAGCCAGCTCTGCCATTTAATAAGATTATGGTTCATCTGATCATGACCTCAACAAACTTTTCTGGTCTTTGTCCGTAATCCTTGACTTCATCAAAGTGCAAGAATTTGAATATATTCAAAGCTGAATGAGATACTGATTCAGTCTCCATACGTCTATGAGTTCAAGAATCCCAAAAATTCACAAACTTCAGAAGACATTTCTCCTGTCCATATTAAATGTGCAGTCTCCTATTCTGAATCTAAACTCAACAAATCTTGGTTTCAATAAGATCACTTCTCATTCTTCTAAACTCCAATGAGTATAGGTCCAACTTACTCAACCTTCCTCAGAACCTCTTCATCCTAGAAATCAACCCCATGAGCCTTCTTTAAGCTTCTGCCAATGCAGTATGTACCACTGCAGAAGGGAGATCAAAACTGTGTGTGGTCTTACCAACACCCTGGACAGCAAACAAGATGTCACTACTTTGATATTTCACCCCACTTGCAAAAAAGGCCAACATTTCACTAGCCTTTCTAATTACTTGTTACACCTGCATGCTTACATTTTGTGTTTCAGTTCAAGGTCTCTGCATCTCAGCATTCTGTAGTCCCTCTACATTTAAATAATATTCTACAAGGTCCCCTCAAAGTCACTCACGATCCTAAACTGGAACTATACGACCATTCCTTCACTGTGGCTCGGTCAAAATCCTGTAACAAACTCAATACCAGCATTGAAGGTTTGCTTACAGCACAGCAGTGGAAGAAGGAGCTTCACATTATCACAAACAATTCGGAACAGACAATAAATACTGGCTTTGCTAGCAATGTCCACAGCCCTCAAACAAGGCAGGCATTTCTTAAAACTTATCCCTTTTGTTGGCCTAATATCTCCTTACATGGCACTGGAAGCAGAATGAAGCAGATACCGAGACTGACTAGCATAGAGAGAAAACCAGAAGGGAAAAATACTTCCCTTTTACAACCTTAGGACTGCCCAATGTGCTTTACAGCCAATGAAATACTTTTAAAGTGTGGTCTCTGCTGTTTCCAAATACAAAGCAGCCAATTTGTGCAGAGTAAGTTTCCACTAACAGCAATTTGATAATGAACACAATCTCTTTTTGTGACGTTGAGAGATTAATACCAGTCATGACACTAGAGCTAATTTCTCTGCTTGTTTTCAAGAGTGCACCATGGGATCTTTTACGCTGCCCAGTCCATCGTACAGCCAACCTTCCATCCATTGACTCCATCTGTACTTCTCGCTGCCTCAGGAAGGCAGCCAATAACATCAAACACCTCTCCCACCCCAGTAATAATCCCTTGCAACCTCCTCCGTCGGGCAGAAGGTACAAAAGCTTAAACACACGTACCAACAGATTCAAGAACAGCTTCCTCCCCACTGTCATTAGACTTCTGAACCTCTCAAATTTCAAATTTAATATCAACATCACTCTTTGTGCATTTTTGCTGCAGCCATAACATTGTATTCCTCACCCTGATCTATTACCCCAATGCATTTTGCATGGTATAATCTGCTTGTACTGCACATAAAACAAAACTTTTCGCTATACCTAGATAAATGTGACAATAATAGATCAAATCAATGAATCAAATCCCAAAACGGGGAATTGGGACGCGAAAGACAGCATCATGTTCCCTCTGTATCATGCTTGTGCATTAGATTTTTATGCTCTATTTTCTGGACTGGAGCTAGAAGCCACAACCTTCTGACTCAAAGGTGAGAACATTCCTAATTGTAATATGGCTGACACCGAAACAGAGAAAGCAGCAGCAACATTGAAGGTATGCATGAGAACATATCAAAATCATTACATGCAATATCATAGAGTGACTGATTAAAAGTCTTGTCTATGCAAATAATGCCCACCAAAAAGGAAAAACTTGTTTTTAAAAGGATGTCTAAACATGTACTCAGGCCAACTATAAATGTTTTAGAAATACTGGATTAGAGGCAAGATTTTTCTGTCATACCTATTTGTAACATCTGTCAAATCTGGCTGCTGCAAACAGACTTAGCCATTCATTTTGGCCACTAGGTTTGTTGATGCTAATTTTCAAGGTAGGTGGGTGCATTTCTCACTGAGCTGTGACAGCACTAGCTAAAACTGTAATAAATGGTCTTGGGGTAGTTCTATCCACAGCCAATTCAATCAATACTTCTGCAATCAGGGAGTCAGGCTTGGAGCTTCAAGTTTGAAGTCTCTTTCCTATACTGTCTCAACACACACACTGACAACACCCCTTCCATCACCCCCTTCATACACCAGGCCCACTCTACAATTCCATCACAGATCCTGAACTGATCTCGTCCCAAATGGATCTAAGCTTTGAAAGCTACATTCCAGCTATTCCAGGGTTGATTTGTTCAGAATTTCCCCAATAATTGCATTTCTTTGGCAACATTTACTTTGAATAAGGCTCAATTTCTCATTCGCTAATGGAGGAAAATAAAATGTTTCGACAAATTGTATCCTTGCCATTGATGAAGCCAATGCTGCCACCAGTCTCCCCCTCCATAGTTACGTAGATCTAGTCACATCACAGCAGCTGTGATGGTGACAGGGGTCAAGAGGAACTTAAACATTTCACCAGTGACCCAGGGAAACCTGTACCAGTGTTGTTTTGCCTTATAGAACAGGTTAATGTAATCACTAAAACAAAACCACAAGCTCAAGGTCCTGGCCAATGTTCCCATGCCCCGTCTCTCCATTCCAAATCTGGTATACTCAATGAACTCGCAGAACTTCCACACTTAAGAGGATTCCTCCTAACCACTCTACCTCCTTAGTACCCAATCAAAATCTCATTTTTGAAATTTATTTTCCAACATCAAGTTCATCTTGCCTTATTTTGGCAGCTTCGGGTAAGGAAGGAGATTCCGAGAGGTTGCTGCAGTAGAGAATGCAGTGTGGATCCGGTCGTTCCTCATGGCTGTATCCTGGTGGGTCCTTCGACTAGGGCTATTCAGCGGCAGCTGAAAGTGAGCTGGGTCCATTCCCTGGATTCCAATAACCGGTTTGGGAATCCTTGTTGCCAGCAGTGTAGGACCCCTTTCAGTGGCGGCATCAGTCTGTGAATCCATGTGGTTTTTTCTTCAGCTTCGTGGGGGTCCGGCCCACGATTCCAAGGTTGGGGGCTCAGATCCTCGAGCCCAGAACCATGAAATGGGCTAAGATTGACTTTGTCTTAAATTCTCTTTTTTAAAAAGCTCTTTTTTATTATTGTTATACTATCATGGAAAGACAGTTATTGCAAACATTTTATTTATTTTTCTCATTTATTACTATGATTTATACTTTTGAAGGTCTGTCACGCTGGACTTTACGTAGTTTTGCTTCCCTTAAGAATTTGTACTCAACAACCTGTACCTAGGAACCTTTGTACCTAAGATGGCATTACGAATGGCAACTTGTAAACTTTGTCACCTACTCAACATGAGTATGGTGAAAAGTTGATTCTATATTCTAAAGCTGGAAAGAAAACTAGAGAGTGATTG